TTTATAACTCACTTATCCTCCGCCATTCCCAAGTCAAGGGTCGTATATACTGACCCAGTAGCATATCTTGAAAACTAGAGCAAATCAACAATTTTAAGCATCATTTTTGTTCTCAGTGACTCAGAATTAGTAAAGCTTGACTACATTTATTTCAGAAACATTTTGGCTGTAGAGCAGTGTTATATTTCATGCTGTTACCAGATTTGCCCGTTACTTGGTGGTACGCTCATTTATTAGGGTTACTCTTCCCCGGGGGTGTGTGTGTGTGTCTATATCTATCCATGTACTGCTTGTGTCACTTGTGTTTTCATATGGAGCCCTACTTCTCCCTTTGCAAGTCCCCTCCCTATGGACCTATCCTGCAGGACCTAGGTTTCCCAGGGCTGGATTCCTCCAGTCCCAGAATCAGATGCACGCACACACTGAGTCCATCAGTACTGTCAAGCTGACTCCTTATATGCCCCATGACTCAGTGTGCTGGGTCAAGTACGATTTCCAAGCTGCCACTCCTATATGCCATAGGTACTGTACCAGAATAGAGTAAGCCTGAGCAGGCTGGGTTAAACAGCACTTCCAGGTTGCCACCCTTATATGCCCCTGGACTCAGTAGTCTGGGTCAAGCAGCACTTGCAAGCTGCCACCCTCATATGTCATAGGTTCAGCACGTCCCTATCCCCACTTTCATGTTACAATTGTTCTGGTAGTAACCTACTTGATGAGCAAACCCCACAGTATGTTTGGGCGCTATAGGGATCTTTAGCTTAGGTAAGAGGAACGTTGCTGCAGAGTAAATGAGGAAGCCAAAAACACAAAAGAGTAAAGTTCAGAGAGAGAGAGAGGGAGAGAAGCAACCAGCTTAACCATAAAAGTTATTTATTGAATAATTCACCTCTACCTCGATATAACGCGGCCTGATATAACACAAATTCAGATATAACGCGGTAGAGGGGGCGGGGGGGAGCAGTGCACTCCGGTGGATCAAAGCAAATTCAATATAACCCGGTTTCACCTATAACGCGGTAAGATTTTTTGGC